GCCTCAGCCCTCCCTGTGCCCTGCAGGCTGCAGGAGGATCCCCCGGCCGGGGTGAGCGGGGCCCCCTCCGAGAACAACATCATGGTGTGGAACGCCGTCATCTTCGGGTGAGTCGGGCGGCGGCGGGGGGCCGGGGGCGGCAAGGCCGCGGGGGCCGCTCTGCCGGCGGGGGGCAGGGGGTCGGAGGCGGGCTGCCCGCGGGGTAACGCTCTGCTCTGCTTCTTCCCTCCTCTAGGCCCGAGGGGACCCCTTTCGAGGACGGTAAGTGGGGCTCCGTGGTGTTTGGCTGTCTCGGGGTGGGCTGCTGCAGTTTGACACGGCCTCGGGGTGTCACCCCTGCGGGCTCTGCAACAGGTGTGGGCCTGGGGACGGGGGGACAGGAGGGTGTGCGTTCTCCTGACCACACATATGTATGCTGCAGCCAGGGCTTATGTAAATTATTATTGTTTTTAATCCTGCTCCAAGAAAGTGTTGTAGATTTAGATTGCTATGTTGGTTTACAGAAACCTGCAAATTAGGTTGTAGGGGCTTGACTTGTAATCACTAAATCTGACTGTTCTAAGCCTGGTTTAATGTACCATTTTAAGGATCTCCAAGCTTTTCTGTTGAACCTTGGATCGTGCTTTTAGGGGCGCTTACATTTGGAGAACTGTCAAAAACCTGGTGTAGAACCACTGTTTTGAGTTCTGTTTTTTTCTGATGCTGGAAGTGTTTTGCGAGTAAGTCCCAACGTGAGTCAGCTTAAGTAGGAAATGAGCTGAATGCTTGAGGAAGTTCAGAACGGATTTTGGGGTGGGTTTTTTTTTTTTCTTGGCATCTACTCTGCTACAGTCGGTATCACTCAGGGTTAAAGATTAAAAGGGCTTTTTAACTTTAAAAGCTGACTAAATAGGTCCTTGTAACACACCTGGGTCCCAGTAGTTTTCATCTGGCCTTATTGTCTTTTGTAGCTTTATTGGTGCTGTATGAATACTTTGGCATTTCTGTGGAAACTTGTTAGACATGAAATACTGTCTAACTGAAATCACTGATGCATTTATTTTTTTTAAGATACTTTCAGTGCGGGCTATAATTAATCCTAGATCTCCATGACTCATGCCAAAAGCGCAGGAAAAATTCTTTAACTCCTATGTTGTTCTTGGCTAACTCCTTTGTCTCTGTTTACCCTCAGAGGGAGCACCTGTGGGCATGCCTATAAATTGCAGATATTTTTAATATTTCTTTTTATGTGAAGATTTTGAAGATTTTAAATATTTCAGGCCTAAGAGTACTCCAAAGACTCCAATTACTTTTTCTAATATGTTTGATTAATTAAGAAACCTGCTATAATAGCTGCTTCGGAAGTCTAATGTTTAGAATTGAGTATTCCACAACATGGCATAATAGATCAGGTAGACTAAATGTATTCTGTTATCTCATCTTGTAAGCCTTAAAGAAGGGTTCCCTTAAACTTCTGTGAGGGTTTCTAGAGCTGCCTAGGTTCTTGGTGCACTGTCACTAATAGAGTGATTCACTGTTTGGAGCAGAAAGCTGTCTCCTTGCAGTGTGCTAAAATGCAGGTTATTCCATATTCAGGCTCTTCCAGCTCAGTGTGGGGTTAACAGATGCTATAAGGGCTTTTTTTCCATATATTTCCTTTTAGGTGCAGAAGGTTGGAGACTGCTTTTGAGAGCCCTGACATATTGATTTCGTCTGTGCTTTCCACCGTGGCAGCGTTGTGTCTTTATCTCAGATACTTAGGACATGTTGCACTCACAGCGGTTTGAAGTTCAAACAGATGTTTGAGTCTGCTGCTGCTGTCCTGCTGCCTTGGTTGATCTAATAATATAATCTCGGGGTGTGATGGATCGCTCTTTTCATAGCAAAGTGTGTGTTTTCACAGTATGCGCTCAGGAAAGCAGATATGTCTTGTGTTGCAGGATATGCTTATCTCCTTTTCTCTGGGACATATCTTACATTGTGCCAGATAACAAAATACTAAGTGGTGCCTGGAGATACGGGTGTATTGGTGCCTCAGCTGTGCTTTTCCATTAAGTGAGTAGAGTAGCACAGTTCAGATAATGGTAGTGCAGTTCAGATGCAGTTTAGCTTAATGTAGGTAAAATTGAGGGAATTCTTATCTAACAGTATTGAACTGTTGAGTTTGGGCTTGTTTTGTGACTGTGCAGGCCCTTGTGAGACAAAGGTGCACTGGAGCTCTGTAGTCCTTCTCGTGAAGCCTTTGCAGGGTAGTGTTCTTCAGACGTCACTTTGTATTTCCCTTTTTAGGCTCTGTCACTTCCTGGTGGTAGTGTAAGACTGCAGATACCTTAGTTCTTGTGAAAGTAGCCTGTGAATTTAATTTTGTGTGTGTGTAACTAGAGGAATAATTAAGTCAACATCATAAGAATTACTGTTCTTTATCCTCATTCTGGTGAGGCCCTTCTCCAGTCTCTGCTTCTGAGGTTTCTTGTCTTTGTCTGAACTGAAAATCTGAAGTTCAAACACGTTTGTTTACTTGCTGTGCAGCATAATGCAGCTAACAACCCTCCCTCCCCTCCGCCCCCAGACTTCGGAGGGTGTTTTCACAACTTGGTGTGCAGGCTGACTCGGCCTGGGAGCAACTACTAATTTAGATCAGCACCATGGCTTCCATCTTCTGGTTTAAGAGGATTCTATTGCAGGTGTCTGCGGGAGGACCCCGGGGATATTTTTCCTGCCCTTCACCGTATTTCTAAGAATCTATGTGTGTGGCATCTGAAGTGGTGGTGCTGTCACAGCGATGGAAATGCAGGCTCTCCCAGTCCTTCAGGCCTGTTTCTCTGAAACTGGATGATGATGTTGTGGTTAGTGCAGGATTCCTGGCTTGGAGAGAGTTAAGTAACGCAGCTGTTGTAGTATCCTGCCTTGCTGTCATTGTGCAGGAGGCTTGAACAGAGGAAGCAAGGCATTTGCCGTCCATATGGTTTATTCCTTGCTTACAGAATATGGATTCTGTACCTTCATGTGGGAGAGATCATCCCTGCTTTATGGACAGTGGAGTAGAGGGGGCTGCTCTTGCTCCTGGCAGCGAGAAGGGCCTGGCAGGGACAAGGGGGCTGCTCTGGGAGGGGTTACTTGGGCCAGCGCACAGGTCGTGGAGTGGCCTCCCTGGTAGCCATGACTTGTGTTCCGAGGTAGAAACTGATCAACAAGGTAAGTAAGTACAAGAGAGAAAAGAGAATCTTCTCCTAAGATCAGTGATGATTCTAATATCAATAATGACAGTGAATATGATGATTTATGTTTTAAAATTGATTGTCTAGGGCAAATTGCAAGGAATACCAGATGAAAGCTTTAAAATCAGTGACAGAAGAGGCTGGACACTGAAGGCCTCATCCCGAGCACTGTCTGTCATGATACCTGTTTCACTTGTGTGGGCTTTCAGTGCAAGTGACCCTCCTTGGACTTTGGTTTCTGGATTTCTCCTTTAATAAATCTCTACAGTGAGATGTTGGGCACTCTGGAGCTCTTTCCAGAGCCATTGCCGCTCTGAGTCTTGACTTGGAAATTTGAGTGGGTAGATACTCCAGCTGGAAGGTGGCTAACTTCTCGCTTGGATTTGTGTTAAGAGCAATACCACAAGACACACAGTTTCCTTCTTTCAGTAGTTTTAAATGGATTCTAGGACCAAACTGCCCTTGTTACTGGTTTTTTGGCCATCTTATCTATCCTCTCTGCTCCCACTTCAGTCCGTGTTCGAGAATAGCGTTCTTTTTCTCAAGTATGCTTGTTGAACTCCACTGTTTGATGGTTTATGCTCAGTTTTCAGCCTACTGCTTGCTTAGTCACGCTTCCAGAGGAGAAAGTGCCTGCTTTCCTACCTCATAAGGAGGCTACTGAGAACCAGAACTGGGGCAGAGAGCTGGGAATCTCTAAGATTTAGAATCAAATCTCTAAGCATTTGACTCCAAAGGGCCAATCTTGGTTGGGATTGTCACCCTGTTGGGAAGGAAAGGTAGTCCCGAGCTGATGTTGGCAGCTGGTAGAAGTTGATACTAGTTATTCAGTGCTGGCTTTCAAACTCATCTCAGATCTGGCTCAGTGCCTCTGGATTAGCTGGAGTAAACCTTGAAAGTCCCACTGCAGGTTTCCGCTAATTTGAACAATCTTAAGTATACTGCTCTTGTTCCTTTTGTTTTATAGTAAGATAGCATTCTGTTGGCTCTCTGCTCTTCTGTTGTTAGGCTGCTAATAAAAAACAAACATGCAAAAACTTATTTTTAGGACGTTGAGACTTCCCACTGCTGTACGGAAAGCTCTGAAGCATCTGTACTCTGTCTTCATATGCAAACTGGAACGTCAAAGCAATGACCTTCATTTCTTGCGACTCAATGTTATCATTTATCTCCTTATAAAGGAAGGAGTCCCTGGGAAATACTGCAGGTCCGTGCTGATCTGAAAAAAAGGAAAAGGGGTCAAAATATCTGTTCTCTGTCTACCAGTTGCTGGCACATATTTGCCAGCCAAATGAAGGAATACCATCATCATATTAGTGCTGGAAAACTCCCTCACAGTAGGAAGCAAGGATGAGCTTCATATCTGAGCCCCTGAATTGTAATTTGGGCAGTGAGTGTTGGGGAGTGGGGGGAGAAAAACCCATCTCGGATTAGTAAGGATGGCTTTTCAAAAAAGGTAATATGTCTGCCCTGGCAGTTTGTTACAGCCCTTCCTGTAAAGTGTGTTCCCTCTCACAGGAGAAGTATATATTTACATGAAGGTGCTTCAGGTGTTTCTCTCTGGGCATACACAGGAACATTGCAAACTGCCTCCCGGATTGGTCGGTCTGAGGCCGTAGCAGGGAAAAGAGAAGCTTGTGTGTTTTGGAGTATGTGGAGTTCTGTCGTTCCTGATGGGAATTGCCAGCAGTGCTCAGTCCCTCGGACCCGTATTTATGCAGCTTAGTTGACAGACTTATTCTGAGATTGTTGTAGCCTGAGGAGAAGGGCTAAAAGTAACTGCTGTTGGCTGTTAAACCGATTGGTTGGGGCTTAACTACAGTTTTCTGTTTCTGCTTAATCAGCCTTTCTGGAAGAATAGTTTGAGTGAAGTAAATGATCAGATTTTTATTTTGAAGTGTCTGATACTGCTTTCAAGATTACTTTTCTACAGTAAGACATGATTACCTTACAGTTGTTGATTTTAAAATATATTTTCTTGAAATTTAAATAGGAAATGAGTTAGAAGGCCCATGTCATAATAGCATATTCCAGTCTCTAGGACTTAACTAAATCATGGCCTGTTACACAGATGGTTGTACACCCACTTGTGTTGTTTTCACAGTGCACTGGGATTAGGCTTTGTGGAAGGGCAGATTTATTTCTTTACACAAACCTTTTGGCTGGGGTGGTGGTTTTGGCAATAAAAGTCAGTCCCAGGAGATAGTCTCAGAGCTGTGCTGTCTAGGACTTCAGAGTTAATGATTAACTCCAAAGAGAGTAGAAGAATCACTGTAGGACTGAGCAATCTGTGTTCCGCATTCAACGTGCATTATGAGCACAGTTGTATCATCTTGTGCTTGTAAAGGGATGCTGCTTATTCATCCCTTGAGTAAATTCCTTGTGAATAAAGGTTACTTATCTCTCTTTCAACTCCAGGAACCTTCAAACTTACAATAGAATTCACAGAAGAATATCCAAATAAGCCACCTACTGTTAGATTTGTCTCTAAAATGTTTCATCCAAATGGTAAGTACTTAAGCGATGCTGCTTTTTTTTTTTTTCCCTGGTTACAGCGCTGTAAGACAAGGTGTATTTATTGTAAGCTGCTGCTATCTAATGAGCTAGCAAAATTCCAGTGTGGTTCTGAGCAGTTTGGTAAGGATGAATATGTGAGCAGTGCTCAGGCTTGAAATGAAGGGGCCATAGAAGGAGCCTTTTACCTGTCAGGTGTTACAGCACAGTATTGATGAGATGTTCTTCTCTCTCAGCTGCCTGTTGTCAGACCTTACAGAAGAATATTTTGTAGTTAAATAGCAGTGCCTTGGCCTTCTGTCTACAGGTATTGCATACGCACTGTGGCGATGCTGCTGGGTGCAGTTGTCCTCTGCCACTTCCCAAAAATGCTTAGAAGAATGATAGACCTTGAAATGCAGTGCTAGTTTCCAACTACAGCTAGTGATAGTAAGACTGTTTAATTAGTCCCCTTCCTTGGTAATTAAAGGTTGGAAATGTATTTGCTGCCTCCAAACAAATAGCTTTGTGAAGAAGTGCTGGAAGCTTTCAGATGCAGCAAGTCAGTGTGTGTGGGTAAAGTGCACTGAGGGAGGGTTCTTCTGAAGCTGCCGTGAGAGAGGTGACCAGGGGCTGACTGCTGGGGATACTTTGTGGGGAAAACTTGCGTGTAAACACCTTTTTACTTCTGTTCTATATTGGGTTCACTTGTGGGTAGCTTTTTTTTTTTTTTTTTTTCTGTCAGTTCTATTTCTGGTTGTGCATAGTGGTAGTTGCAATGTCACAGAGAAGCTTGATGCTGAAGAATAAGCAGGGGTTGAGTTGAAATGCCTCAGGCAGCTGTGGGTGACAGACTTCACCTCTTTCTGCCTACAGCCCTGTTTGCTGGATTTGAGTCTGCCAGGGGCTTTTGACTTTTGTAGTGTTTGTCAGTGCGTAGGTTTTCAGGCTCGGGCAGTACTGGTTAAAACCTGAGCAGCTGTACAGTTTCTGTTTTAAGCCATTCTTTTTCAACCTTTTCTAGTCTATGCAGACGGTAGTATATGTCTGGATATTCTTCAGAACCGTTGGAGTCCTACTTACGATGTCTCCTCCATCTTAACATCCATACAGGTAAAAAGAACTCGGCATGAAAAGGCAGAATGAAATCAGGATGCTTTGACAAAAACAGCTGAGGAAACCCTTTTTTTTTTTTTTAAATTTATTTTTCTCTCTTTTTTTTTTTTTTTCCCCTCCCAAGAGCCAGTGTAGCAGCTGTACCTTGATACATGCTAAAGTACGACTGCTTCCCAAATGTAAGGTGGCTAGACAGTGACAGCAGGGAAGGGACCCATCCAGGGATTGCACTCTCTGGGTGTTGCTGTTTGGCTGTCAATTTACCACCTGCACTGCTAAGAATGAGACTCCTAGTGAAAGCTCCCAGTAACGTACAACTGGAATGATGAAACGCACCTTTAAAAAACCCAAGTCTAGATGAACTTCCCTCTTATTAGTATGGCTAGTTTAAGGAATATGTTGGGAAACTATGCATGCTTTCGAGTGCCTAAGAATCTTTTTCTCTTTGCACAGTCTCTATTGGATGAGCCCAACCCCAACAGCCCAGCGAACAGCCAGGCAGCTCAGCTATACCAAGAGAATAAGCGGGAGTATGAAAAACGGGTGTCTGCAATAGTAGAACAGAGCTGGCGTGACTGTTGACCCAGGATGATGCAAATGAACACTCTGTTGATGAGGAAAATAAACAAAGTGTCCGAGTCATCTTTTTCCTCCTAGCATTTACTTTGAAAGCAGAATAGCTGTTGTGCTGTTGCCACCCTCCCTTGCTGAAGCTTCTTCTCCTTGGACATCAGAAAGCACCCACTTTGAAGTCAAATGTTCTGTACTTGGGTTACTTGCAAAAGAGTTACTGATGCTGAATTCATTTCCTGTGGTCCCTCTCCAGTCTTAGGGCAGTATTGTGCATTCTGTAGTGTACACTAAGCTTTTAATTGTAATTGTGTTATACACAGTGACGCTTATGTGTAGCTTGATAAAAGGGATGTTTATATACATACACATTTTTTAACTGATATTAACTAAAGTGCTGATCTGTCCAGGCTGGTCATTTACCTCTACTATTGGTTTAGACCCCACTGCATTTGTAAGTACGGAGTGAAGAAATAACCTCTTGTTTCCCTTTTGTATCAGTTTGTCGACTCCTTGCTCATGGAAAAAAAAAAAATGTAAACAAAAAACTCTTAAATTGATTCAAATTCACATATTTAGTAAGACCGTGAATGCTAGTTACTTCTGCACTTCACATGCAAGATTTATGTACAGATATACATAAATCACTACAGTTGTGGTACTTTGATCTGTGCTTAGGGTGAGAAACAAACCCCCTTTTTTTTTTATTATTATTTTATTTTAAAGGACATGCCTACAGGGACTGCTTCACTAAGTTTCTCTAGTCCTGTCACTGAGGCATTACTGGACAAAACCAGGTAGAGCTGTGGTACTCTGAGCGAAAGACCTTCCACATCAGGAAGAGGTAAAACCTGAAGTGTTCCAGCAGTGGAATTACTCTTGGTCGGTGTCTTTCTCCCGCCCCCTTATCTTTAGCCGAGGAAGATAAGTTCTTTGGGATGTGACTTTGCCTTGCAGAAAGTGTGAATTAAGTATGGGGTAGGCACTTGAGTCTCTGCAGTTCCTGCTCTTCATCAATTACCGTGTGGTTCCTGTGAGCTCCTGCTGCATGCTCGAGTTAGTTTCCCCTCCCTTTTATGAAAGTATTTTTTCAACTCTGAAAAAAAAAAACAAAAAACATTTGTAAGTCCAGACTCACTTTTTTTGTAAGGCTAAGTTTCTACATTTGGATACAGTACCTTAAGCAGCAGTGTGGGATGAAACCTACAATTGTGTTGTCCACTGTTCCAGTGTCTTTCGTGTGCACATTGGTCTGTCGAGAAGTTTAACTTTGCACAAGTAACCCATGTAAGAAACTGTACATTTTTCAAAAGTTGTAAATAAAGTGTAACCTTAGTGCTTATTGTATAAATAGGCAAGAGGTGTTTAACTGTGGTTATTTTAACGGGGATGGGATCCAGCTCCAGGCAGAGCCTCGCGGCAGGACTGAAACGCTTCCTCACCCCCGGGGCTGTCACTGTGCTTGGGTGAAGGCCGGGGCAGGTGTAGTGTGGGGACAATAACCAGCCCTTCAGCGGGAAGGAGGAAAGAGGGCAAAGGAGGAAAGACAGGGCAGGACCCACAAAGTAGCAGAGAAAGGGAGAAATAGACACAAGTCTTAGCAAAGCGAAAAAACAACCACATTTGCAGGCAGCTCAGCACTACCTCATGTCTGTGAGTGAACTGTCAACAGAAAAGGAGCCTACGATAATGATTGAGCTACAGCAACTTAATGGGCTCAGTCATTAATTGATACAGGAATCATATTTATTTTCCTCCTGTCTTCTGAGGGAGAGAACAGGCTATAAAGTGACTGACACTGACCAAAGCTGGAACTGCCGCTTGGTGCTCCGGTTTGTTTCCTGAGCGTTCCCCTGCAGGACTTCCCCCACTCAGAGCCAGACGAGCCACAGGCCCCTGTAGTTGCACCCACCATTACAGACCCGTGCAAAAAAACCTCACCAACAAACCACCCAGCACCTGCACTGATGGGGAGGACAGTCTGGCCGGGGGTACTACAGCCACTGCCCCTTTCTGAGTGTTCCAAGTCACTCTGATGTCACAGCAGCCCCTGCATCAGTCCCTCTGCTTTTGTATTTGTCTTCTAGTCAATAAAATACAACAACAACAAAAGGATGGAGTGGACTCTTAAGGCAGCCAGAAATGGGAGCAGCACTGAGCTGGGGGGCGGAAAAACACCCAACAAATAACCAAACCTTTACACCCCTTAAGTGAGGGTGTCACTGTGACAGGTACCACCCTGCACAGCGGGCACTGATGGGGGGCTCAGTCACAGCTGCTACCCAAGACAGGAATGCAGTGCTCTATACGCTCACAGACAGCTACCCATGCGGAGCTACCCTTACCTTTAGCCTGTTTTGTGGCTCCCCCCGCCCCCAAAAGAGGCATTTTTCACCCCAAACATAGCAGCGCTGTTCATTCTGCCTTTCTCTGCCTCACCAGGCCCTGGAAACCGGCTGCAAGGCCAAGTAGGGGGGGGCTGCATCCTGCTTGCAGGAATATCTGCCTAGAAAGTACCAGGCTTCTTCCACTCCTACATCACCATCTGCCAGAGCCCAGTGCTCTGGAGAGCGGAATTCAGCAGCAGAGGGAGGGAATAACACACACAAAAAAACCCCAACCAACCAACACACTTTCAAAATTAACTGCCAGGTCATTTTTCTACCAAGACAGCAGCAGCTCCTCTGTATCCCAGCAGACCAGGCCAGGGGGGATGGTCTTACCTGCCAGGGCAGCCTCTTCCTTTTCACACCAAGGGGACGAAAACGCCTCTAACTGCACATCGCCGGGAAATTCTGCTTCATCAGTAGAGATCAGCCACCCGCTCCTCAGCCCTGAAAGTATTTAAAGGGGAAACAGTAGGTGGGGGGAAAAAAAGTAGAGGATGATGTAAGAAGATGGAGAGGAAAATACAGGCAGCAGCAAACCAGAAGCGATTCCTGAGACACAAGGCAAGAGGAGAACGGACAAAACCCGCTCCATCAGGACTGGCTTTGGACTCAAGGATCCTCGTCAGCCCCAGTGGTGACAGAAACAACCCAGCACCTCTTGGCACGTCTCACTCTTGGCTCCTCCGAGGTCAATTCCCAACCCGTGTCCCAAGCAGGAGGCTCCGGCGTCCCCGAGAGAGGCCACACTCACACCACACGTGGGAGCAACACCAGAACCTTTACTTGTCCATCGCCCCCGACATACACAAGCACAGGTACAGTAACGGAGCACAGAAATAATTAGGCACAGATTTGATTTTGCTGGGGATTAAAGAGCTTATATTGGAAGTAAAAAAATAAGTTATATAACAGTCCCCACAAGCTCCAGGAGCATCTTTGCTGCGTGGGCTCCGCGTTTACCTCCGGTTTTTATATGTCACACTTCACCGTGGTATTTGCACATGTCAAGGCAAAAAATGCACTGGAATTACCAGTCCAATACACTGACGACTGACTCTCAGTATGGGAGACTCAAGGCAGAAATCTATGAATAAAAGCAATCTGTTAAACTGGTTAAGGACATCTCTCTACATACATACACAGCAGAGACAAGAGCGCTAGATATATTTATCAGGAATAAATGCAGTTTTCACACATATTATTTTTTGTACAAAGTGTGACAAATCCTGTTTTTTTTCCAGAAATAAAACTTTATTTTTATTGTCATTAATACCAACTTTACATACAGGTTACTCCCCTGGACTGCATTTCCTCTGCTTTTTATGATTTTACTTTTTTTTTAAAAAAAAAAAAAAAGGGCATTTTTTTTTCTTCCTTGGTCAAGAAGAATAAGGGAACTATAATTTTAAATTATGTCAAATTCCTTCTCGGTGGACATGGTGTTTTTTCCTATTATAAAACTATTAAAATGTGAAGGAACAAGTAATATCAAAGACACGGACAGTAACAGCACTACTGCTTCTGGGTTGTGCTAATATACTTGGACAGAACTTGCTCAGTTCTAAAGGTCTAACAACATTTTAGAAATTATATTAACGAAGTGAGAGGCTTTAACGTTAATATAACCCACAACAAAAAAAAATGCAGCATCTCTTTCTTCAATCGAATACCTAGGAAGCTCAGTCTCTGGTAAAATGGGACACCTGACCTCAGTTTGCCTGAGGCATAATAAGCTCGTAATGCCCAACCTGACCCTCTTGTTTCAGCTGGTCCAACAGATCCTCCTTGCGCCGCTTCCTGCTCACCACCAGGTATCTGTTGTGGCCCTGCCCATGAGATTTACTTTTAAGACCATATTTTTGGGCGATCTGATGTATCTGCTTCCGCTCGTCCATGTTCAGTTCTCTAGAGAAAGTCAAGTCAATGTGACTGTCTGAGCGTGCATAGTTTCGAATGATCTCCTCAATATCTCTTTTAGCGATTTTGTTCACCCTTTCTACATCAAGCCCGAGTCCTTCCCTTTTAAACTGCTCCTTCACTGAAATTGGCTCTCTAATTCCTTCACCATCTTTCCCCAGGCCACCGCCTGTCCAGCCCATCTTTCTTAAAATTTGGTTCCCGATGTTGTCTTCTTTGATCTTCTGTTTGAAAGCCTCTTCTGCCGATCGACCCCGAATCTCATTTCTGGAGATGACGTCTTCGACGGTGCCTTTCTTCAGGTTATTAACAACAGTTGGCTGAGTCTTTTTGAGGATTTTCACAGCTTCCTCTGCTGCCTCATGCTTGACAGATTTTTTCACTCCAACTGCTTCTGCGATGAATTCGTCTTCAAGCAGCACCTTGCATTTCCATCGCATGCCAGTCATCCTTTCAAAGACATACTCCACCGTCATCTTGTTGAACTGGGCGGTGTCGTTCAGCGTACACACGGGATTGCTGGAGTTCTCATAAACCACGAGGTCCTTTAGGTCTTTCTTCCTTCCGGAGCCCCGCGACGAGCAGCCCACCTTCTGCACCTGGGTCACCTTGATGGCTGTTACATTTGACTGCATCTTCTGCAGAATTTTCAGAGCCTCCTCGGCTGCTGCGTGCTTGCTGGTCTTCTTGGTGCCAAATCCCTCGGCCAAGCAGTGGTCTTGGAGATACACTTGACAGCGCCACGAGCGGTTGGGCATTAATTCATATTTATACTCAACAGACATTTTGTTATACGAGGCAGAATTGTTAAGTATTCCTATTGCGTCGCTGGCGTTCTCTGTGAGGACAAAACTAGTCCAGTGTTTGTTGGTATTAGTGGAACCTTTCACGGATTCAGCACCGGGCTGCATCGGGACACAGTCCCTGTTGGCAACTACAAACTCCTCGTGAGGTTTAAGGGCAGGGGGGAAATCCGGGCGGCTCACGCCAGCCTCACACACCACCAAGTCTTCGTGATAGGTGTGCTTGAACTTCCGCTGCACCACTCGAACCTCCACAGACTTCTTCAGCAGCTTGACTGCCTGCTCCGCAGCACGATCCCTGGATCCGTTTTTGCTGCCGGCGTAACCGGTGGCCAGGTAGACATTCTGACACCGCACTTCACAAGCGAAGCCATCTGTTAGGAGCTTCTTGCTCTTGGGGAGGTCAGCAGGGGCAATTTCCTTCAGAGGAACATAAATATATTCAGGATTTGTCTTGCATGCCTGAATTGAACGCGTCAAAAGATAAGTAAAGTTAATTTTATCAGTCCCAGTGTTTGCATCTGGGTTAGTAAGATTTTTCCAGACAGCTGCTGACAGTTTCTCAATAAAACTCTGCTTCAGCATTATAGCTGATGGAGGGAAAGTCTCTGACGCAGACTGGACAGTTGAAGGAGAAACAGAAACCTGCAACGTGCTGCTTGTGGTGGAGTCCACGCTATTCACAGCCTTCTGGGCTGCTGCTGCCTGGCTTGCAAAGCCCAGCCCAGCGCAGTTGGAGAGCTGGCCATCCGCCTCCCGTGCATTCGCAAAAGAATTCATACAATTTTCAGCTGGCTGCACGATGCTGTTTGTATGTGCCTCCTGGTTCACCTCCTGCATTTGGTTATCCAGAGATTCTTCCTTCTTGTCACCCTTCTCAGCACTGGTGACAAAGTGTATGGGTTCAAAACGTGGTCGCACCCGGAACTTGGGGACCATCTTTTTGGGTGGCTCAGGAGTCTCTTCTGGCTCAGGACCTATGGGGTGGAAGAAAAGCACAAGATCACCAATTTGTGCTATGACAGGGAGACAATTTTTTCACAGAGCAACCTCCAGGAGACTGCAGGCTCTGAACACAGGATCCCTACTTCTTAGCCACAAACCAAGAGGCTGCCTTCCAAAGACATTCACAATTGATCAAATAAGACCATTTATTTTTGTACAGATCACCACAGTGGTATCTCCAGCCCCACAGCCACCATACAAAAATCTCTACATGTTTAGTTACATGGGTTTTAGGTCTTAATCGATTGCTCTGCCCACTGAACCCATCCAGTCATTTCTGAAGTTAATCCATACAAAGCTACTAAACCAAGTAAAAACTACAGCCAATAAGATGGAACACCAGAGCAGGACTACAGCCTCAGCTCCGACTCTGCTGCAGGGCTGTGGGATGATCCCAGATAAACTACTTTATCTTCAGGTCTTCTCTTTTGGTGGAGAAACACAGTGATACTGAACCCTCCCTTCCAGAACACGCAGGGCTGTTAATGAGTGTTAATAGAAGTGTACTTTCTGGAAATATAACTACCTTTGACTAAAGGGTACCAAACGTGGAGAAATCTGCCCAAGCCCCAGGTGGCAGCTGCAGTGGCTGGAGGTGCCCATTGCACATTCCTGGGAGACCTCTTGTTTCTTAACCAGAAGAAATGCAAATGAGGCACAATATCCTGATATGCGCAGCCACCACAGAAAATGAGAATCAAATAGCTGATAAGCAAATACATGACATCTAGAAGACGGTTATGCAAGACTTCTCCTGTGAAAGATTTTAGCCCCCACATGCTGAAGTAGGACTTGCTTGTAATTTCATCAGAAGAGCAAAAGGCCACCTCAGCGCCTTGGAACGAGCTGCCTAATCTAATGCCAATGCCTGCAACCCTAATATAGGTCAGGCAACACATCTGTCTAGACATCACACTGCCATAGCATATTTATCATAGCCTAGCTCATTGCAGATGAAAAAAAAAAACCACTTCACATACAGCATAAACAGGCCTTCGTGTTTAAATCAGGTGACAAAGCTCTTACACACGTGTTGAATCCCTCAGTTGCCAGTTTTGATGAATTAAGGCAAGGTTTACGTTTCTTGCTCAGGTTGGTATTTTGACGATTGCACTGCAGCAGCATCTAAAGGCTCCCACTGGCAGAACAGCTCTTTATGCTGCCCGTGTAACATGCAATGGAGAACCCTTCCCCTCTGAGCTGCTGCCCGACAGACAGACAAAACGTGGGGGAAACGCGGTATTTTTGTCAGTTCTGCAGCCAGCCCACGGACGCACAGAAAGGTTGCTGGGTGTCAAAGTAAGGGAAGAAACTTTGGCAGAGCTAGGGGTTATATCCAAGGGAGCAGTCCTGCGCTCTGGGACCATTTGTGCTTTCAACAGCCAAACTACAGACGGAGGCTGCCTCACAAAGCAAGGGCCTGCCTGCTCACATCCACAACCTGCACGTGTGAGCAACTCCCGCCGCTCCCTCCGCAGAGAGGGCAGGGAGCCCTGAAGGTGCTGGAGAGGAGCCAGGGGATGGAGCCCTTGAACTGCCAGCCCTCTCTGCCTGATGCACTTCCTCCGCTGGAAAAGCTACAGCTGGAACACACATCAATCCCTGAGACCGTGGGCCTGGGCTGACACATGCAGGACTCTTTCATACCCAGTAGGGAGGGGAAAAAAAAATAAAAATAAAAAATTAAAACCCCCACCCCACCTTCTATTGCTGCTGGCAGGTCAAAACTCAGCATCACTCAGCTGAACCCCACATTCCATGTTCACGTACAACCCCTTCTCAGGTCAGAACATCAGCCCTCAGCACAGTGAAGAAGGGCAAACAGGAATTTAATTTCATAGATTCAATTTCCTAACACTATCACTAGGGAAAATCAATTACCTGGTAATTTCAACAAAAACCCAATATTTTCTAAAGCAAAAAAAGAGAGCTCTGCATGAATGATGTACACCCCAAAACATGGCAGGGGAGGGGAAATGGCTGCAGTCAAGAAGGAGCACACGATGATCGCTTCTCTTCAGTTTGCCACGCTGGCTCTTTTGGAGGCAGCACCATGGAGCGCTGCTCTCCCCACACTCCCACTAATGCCCACCAACAGTGACAGTCTCCTTTGACACACGGGCAGATATACTCACTGTCAGATGGAGAGCGGTGTCTTTTTAGCTTCTTGCTAGGGACCAACTCATACGACCTCGTTTCCCCGATATCGATGCCTTCAGCCATCTTGAGAACCTTCTCCATGACCTGCAAGCCATATCTGTGTGGATTCAACAACAAACCACTTTAGAACTGGTCCCACAGGGGCAAGGCACACACACATGCACACACAAGCTTTTATTATGCAAAAGAACTACAGCTGCCTGAGACATGGTACCTGGTTTGGGGAGATGCTCCTCCTGATTTTGCTGGAGTATTAACACGGGACTGACCCTGGGCCTCACGCCGTAGCTATTTCAGTGCCTGCAGACACCCTGCACACCAGCTCACAAGCCACCTGGCTCTAAGGGAACCCACTTGAGAATAACAAACACTACAGCCACCAAACTGATGTTGTTTTAAACTCTAAATTTAAATGCATTATCTGTCAAAATTCGGCAGAGCTGCTAGGAACACTGAGGAACACAGGGGCATGGAGGAGGAGTCTCCACGGGCATCACAGCTTCACTGAACTAAGCGCAGGAGCGACTGACAGGCACTGAAGTCTTGTCTGGGACAGCAGCCACAGACGGCACGTCACCAATACTGAAATCACAGATGTCAGATGACAAAGGCACTGCTCAGCTTTTATCGACCACTCTTTAAAAAGCCATACTAATTTCCAGCTTGGTAGCTGTAACTGAAACGCTTTAAATCCCCGAGCCACGACAGAGGTGAGGCTGTCACCAGCTCTGTGCAGACCTGCAGCACGCTCCCAACTGCACACAGGCAGGACAGGCACTGTACAACCCCACCCCTCCTGCCCTTACACCCCTAACCATTTAAGTTTTCCATTCCTCCAGGGATCTGTCACGTCCTTCCAAGCTATCTGCACAAGAAAAAAACCTCAAACCTTTCTAACCAAGGAGAACCTACAAACATGGCCTGAAACAAGCCAGGGAGCTTCAAACTGTGGTTCAGAAAGGAGAAAAGGCAATCTTGCACCTCTTCCATGGTGTGCTCACCTTCAAAAGTCAAAAAGCATCAGGTCACTGCCCACGGACCGGACAGGAGTCCACAACTGTCCCAACAGGTAGCGCTGCAGTAACTTGCACCAGCTTTTAAATATTACTGTTCCAAGGGCTCTGGAAATTTCCTCACTCTTCACCCAAGAAATGCCCTTCCTGTCCCTGATTTAGAGGGCCAGGCAGAAGTTAGATCCGCTTGAATTACTGGGTGAGAACAGTGAACACAGACTACTGCAGTCCCTGCTTCACCCACAGGTACCCAGCACAGCTCAGCCCCAGCAGGGAGGAGTTGGGGAGCAGTGGAACAGTGCATGGGGTGAAAATGCCAAGAGGCACCAAAGTGGTGATACCCTCACCCTCCTGCAGAAGGGAGAGGGGTGGGAATCTCTGTTCCTCTCTCTGGTTTACAGGGAGAAGAGTACATTACCCATGAAGGGAACATGAAGGACAATGTCCTTTTCCAGCAGGGTGTGCAAGAACAGCATTAGATTTGACATGAGTGTGGCACCCCACAAAGGATGGAAATGTTTGGGGCTCAAATTTCTGCCCAGGGGAAGATGAGCCAGTCCCAACACATGTTTGCCTACCCTGGCCTTAGAAGTCTCAGGTTGTGGAGACTGCACACGGAGGCAGAGGAATCCCAAGCCTCCAATGCCTAACTAAAGTCTCCCTGGTGTGACTTAAATATGTTTCCTCTTACCCTGATTCCAGTAGCTCTGGAGCATAATGGTCCCTCCCTCCCATTTTGCAGCCACTTTTAATATATCTGAAAAAACATGCATCTTCTCTCAACCAACCCTCAACTAAATGAATCCTGTTACTTAACTCCTTCCTCACAGACCATGTTTTCTAAGCCTTCTGGACACTCTCCAGATTATTCCCCAGCAGAACGCTTCCTCAGATTTCATCAGCAAGGACTCTGATTTGTATTGACTTTGACCCACAGGTTGTCTTCAGCTAGCAAGTGATCCAAGTTAAAAAAAAACCACAAACAAGAAAAGAACACCAAACCAAAAAACAACCAACAACCTTAAGAGAAAACAACAAAAATCCCCCCAAACTTTGAAGTTATTCACTTTATACAGCAACAAGAGCTCTTGCCAGGCAGCAAAGGCAGTTGTAGAGAAAGCTGTGGGTCCCCTCCCTTCCCCAGACAAGCCCAAGTAAAGCTGCCAACTGCTCTTCAGCCGCACAGCGTGTTCACTCTGCCCGCGTGGTGAGCTCAGGTTCCTGCACAACACAAGCTTTGGGGGAACATCCTCACTGGTAATGGCTCTGCACCACATCATGCCTAAACCTACCGCTCACGTCTCCCCCGAGAGATGCAGCTAGAGATGTTCATCAGGGAAAGTATATGCTCTCACAGGCTTAAATTGCATCACTTTTTAGGATTTGAGATCTTGCCACATCGCTCTTTGCTTCTGTTATCAGCACCCTCTAACCATATTATTGCATTGATTCCCAAAAGCACTATCACAAAGAAGGCCCTCCACACAAGCACATTAGGATGAGCTAATGGACCAGAGAGACTACATCTTATGAAGATACGCTCAATTTTAATGTACTGATCAAGCTTTGGAATTCGAAGCTGTTTTAAAACTACATTCAATTTTGGTGCTTGCAGAGCAGAATAGTTCAGTACTTGGACCAGAAAGAAATAAGAAAACACACAGATCTACATTTAAACATCTTGACTTGGCTCTGTATGAGTGACCCAAGATACTCCCCAGCAAGGCTTTGGGGCAGTAACACGAATAAAAGCCCAGTTATATGCCCTTCAGTGCTACACTCCTCTGTCACCGCACATTTTGCTGAAGTTAGTCGTTGAACAGCTGCTGGTGCCTTTGAAGCCTTATGTCCAGTTAAAAATAATCACAACATCGAAAGTGTCAGTCGGGACGTGGGTGACGCCTGTGCAGACCCCACAGCCCCGCTGGTTACCGTGGGGCGGTGGTTTCTGCACGTTAAGAGTAATCCTGATAACGGGGAAACCTCATCCCTTCACCGGCCGGTTTCTCTCCCACAAACCGGGACGGTACCGGTTGCCATAAAGCAGCCTGGGGGGATACCCTCCTCTCGCTGACAGCACAGAGCACGAGTCCTCGGGGGTGGGACACCGAGAACTACTTTCAAAACACACACGTACTTTTCCAGCACTTTGCTCCCTTCCGCACACGGACACTCGAGCTAAGAGACTGCCCCGGCGCGGCGGGGGGAGCCCGGCCCCGCTCCGGGCGACGGCTCCCGGCTCCCGCCAGCCGGGCCACCACTTCGGGGGAGCCCTCCCGAGGGACCGGGGCTCCCCAGGCCTGACAGCGAGCGCCGGGCCCCAGCGGGACCGAGCGGCCGGGGCCGCCACGGCCACCCCGTCCGTCCGTCCGTCCGTCCATCCGCCTCAGGGGCCCGGGCCCGCCTCAGGGCCTTCCCCACAACCCCGGGCCCGCCCTACGGCCCCGGGTCCGCCTCAGCCCCCCCCACCCCGCCCCGGGGCCGCCCCGCCGGGCCTCACCTGCAGCCCATGAAGACG